TGACCTACCACACACACACACACACACACACACACACACACACCAATGTAAGCTCTTTTGTTTGTGTCACACAGAGAATCAAACACTCAAAAAGGAAACAAACTGTCAAACTGAAGCAGAAACACACAGAATCTCTCCAGCAGCGTAAACACTATGAAATATTTACTGACAGACACTCTGTGTGTGTGTGTGTGTGTGTGTGTGCGCGTTTGTTATCCATTCAAATCTCCCATCATCCTCTATTTGACGGCCTCGCTCTCCGCCGGCTGCCACTGTTGTGTTTTTGTGAAAGAATACGTGATGAAAAGGAGTTTGTGTGCGGGACACACAGTCACTCAGCATCTGAAGTGTGTGTGTGAGTGAGTGTGTAAAAACATCCATTTCTGCTCACAAACTCACTCAAAACACTGTAAACACTCTCACAGATGAACAACTGACAGAAACGACTCGTGCTCACAAGTTTGATTCCTTTCAGTGAATCGCTTCACCCGTCTGTTTCAACGAATTCAAAGCTTAGATTTAAATGTCTGTTTTTTTCCATGTATTTAAATGCTTAGTATGAATATCAGCAGGGAAATATTGTTGTTTATGACTATGTGTTGTTATCTAGGTGCATGTAAATGAAAATATGATTCTTCCTTGTCTCATGACAAAAATAAACTTCAGCAAAAAAAAGAAGTTGGTAAGTTTGATTCATTTCAGTGAATCACTTCAAACTGAGTTTTACTGAACTGATTCAAAACTCAGATTCAAATAATTCAAAACCTGTGTTCATCAGTGTTCATCTATCAGCGTCTCTGTGTGTTATATCTGTTATTATATAGGTGCATATGAATGAAAATGAAATATGATTCTTCCTCATCTGATGACGAGTATAAGGCTTATTTAACAGAATCTCTCATTTAAACCTCAGTAGAGTTGGTAAGTTTGATCAGTTTAAATGAATCAATTTTTCAATGAATTGATTCAAAACTTTGAATAATTGTTTGTCATTAGTGTTCATGTGTCATGTGTTTTTTCATGTGTTAAAAAGTTTAGTATAAACATCTGTAGGTAAATATTACTTATACTGGGGCATATAAATGAAAACGATTACATTTTTAATTATTAAATTTTTCTTCCTTGTCTTTCTGCAGCAAAGTCCACTAAAGGAGGTAGAGCTTTTTCGCATTTGGCTCCCAAACTCTGGAATAGCCTTCCTGATAATATAAAAAAATACCAAATGTTGTTATAAGTTTGATTGCAACATATAATCATTACTGTTAATAGTATTCACCGTCTGTTTGATTACATGACATTAACTAACTGCTTGATTTTTACTGTACATTTCTGCCATATGGACATCAACTTGAGATGGTCACCACTGATAAGCTGCTACTAAATATAATGTAGAAACTTAAGTTTTCTGTCAAGCTGCTTTGCAACGATTTGCATTGTGAAAAGTGATATACAAATAAACTTGAATTGAATTGTTCAGATAGAGATGATTCAATAGAGTTGGCAAGTTTGATTCATTTAAGTGAATCACTTCAAGTTGTCGGTTTCAATTAATCGATTCAAAACTCTGATTCAAAAACTCTCAATATTTGTTTGCACTGCATGTGCTAAAATGATTAGTATAAATATCAGCAGGTAAATATTGCTGTTTATGACCGTGTGTTGTTATATTGGTGCATATAAAGGAAAATGTTCACATATGATTGTTCATTTATTGATGATCTGTAGTTACTGTAGTTAACTTGTTGAATGTGTGTGTGTGTGTTTGCGCAGGTTTGAGCTTCTTTGATGGGGTTTCTTCTGACAGAGCCCGAGGCTGTCATCCCCACAGACACACACACACGAATCTCAATCACCGTCACACACACACACAGACACAGACACAGACACAGACACGCCAGAAGTCCTTCACTGTGTTTGGCAAAGGATGCTGGGTAACGATGAACGCAGACGGCTGCTTGTAGCTCTGACAGAGAGAGACGAAGAACACGAGACAGTCATCATCAAATTATACAAAGAGAATTTATGATAAAACATATTAAGAGTGTAGGAATCAGTCTCATGTGAGTGAGCATCGTATGTCACTTCACTAATGCTCTTGTTTAAGGGTCAACCCTTCGTGCCCTTCAAGAGCTCAGGCGAGGTCACATGATCGATGCAAACGTGTTTCTGCAGAGTTTGAGCTTCACTGCATCTCAATGTGAGCAACAGAACAATGAGAGAGTGCTTCAGACACAAAGATGACAAAAAGATATTTAAAAAAAATATTTTGCATCATGAAAATGTTTTTGTGACATTATTTTTATAGCAGTTAAATACATTTAACTCTCTCTCTCTCTCAAAAAAAGAAATTACAAATAAATAAATAAATATTTTACACATTACATTTAGCACATCATTTTACAATTTAAAATGTAACATTTAATTTTATATGCATGTGTCTGTTGTGCTGCATTTAATTATGCAATTAAAAAAAAAAGAAATCACATCACACTAATCAGAATCGAGAGATTCCTGCATTTGCATAAATAAAGAAATAAATATACACACATACATACATACATACATATATATATATATATATATATA